AAGCATTAGAATACAGACTGAGAAATAATTTTCAAAACCAAAATTGGTAATTTTAACCGATGCAATCAAAAGTCAGAGAAATGACATGAGGAATCCTCAAAAACATTTTCTTCATTATATGTATTACAATTTGCACTGTTATATGTTACATGATATTTAATGCTTTTAGTTATCTTGAATACTTGATGAAGGCAGGGAATGAATCCATTCTCGTCTTCAAGGCCCAGCAAAGCAGATGGCACGTAACAGGTTTGGGTTAATACTTTTTAAATGGATGAACAGTACTCAAGAAGGTAACATACCCAAGATCATACAGGAAGTTAAATGGCAGGGCTGTAATTTGAAATTAGATTTGTTTGACCCTAGAGACCAAGCTATTAACCACTGTCACTGCTTCTCTCGAGAAGACTGTCATTCCATGAAAGTTCAGTTAGGAACTTGCTTTGTACTGTCACCCCATCTCTGACCCTTTTATCTCCATCCTGTATCTTTTTATTTATTGCTTCTTTTTCTTGGGTCCACTTCCTCATAGCTTTGTACCTCATTTATTGTGACAGCTTTTTAATTTTTGGCCTCATGGCTATAACCATTCATGAACTCATTTCATACAACCCTCAAAAGTTCAGTTTCATAATTTGATTGTTACATTCAAGAACATGCAATGATTCCCTACTTTTTACCAGTTCAAAATCCTCTTTTCTTCCAAAACTGTCTACAAACTATCATTACAAAACAACTTCATCCATGACACTTAGTGATTAATCAGCATTTCTTTAGGTCTTGAGAAGCCAATTCTGGCATATATTACATAAGTATCCAGGGCTGTACAATATATACAGAGAAGTGGCCATGTGCGGTGGCTCACGCCTGTAATCCCAGCACTTTGGGAGGCTGAAAGAGTGGATCATGAGGTCAGGAGTTCGAGACCAGCGTGGCCAACATGGCAAAACCCTGTCTCTACTAGAAATACAAAAATTAGCCAGGTATGGTGGCACACACCTATAATCCTAGCTACTCAGGAGGCTGAGGCAGGAGAATTGC